CGCGGAAGAGGGAAGACAACTTAAGAGAATACATATTCCAAAATGTAACAGAGCTACAATGGGCCAATTACAGAAGAGAAAACAATAAGACATCTGGTGGATCATAGGCAAACCTTATTAGCTGAATTATACCACTAACTAACTTATTATACACCACTAACTTATTCCACTATTACTAGACTATATTACTAAGTAATTGTGAAATGTTTAGTCCCTGTGTAATATGACCACTGTTTCATTTCTTGGATTAGTCCATTTTCTGTTGCTGTAACAAAACACATGGAGCAGGTTAGTAACAAAGAAAAGTTTATTTAGCTCGCTGTTTTTTTGAAGGCCAAGATCTAGCTCAGCATGAATCCCCTCTAAGGGTAGCACTCTGCCAAGACTCACTACTTCACACAAGTCGCCCCTCTTTGAGGTTCTCCACTTCTCAGTATTGCCATACAAAATACCACAGCTCCAGCGGATGAACATTTGGGGGACAAACCACATCCAAATCAGAGCATTTCCTAGGAGGTAATTTTCTGCAGCACAGAGGCCCTCATAATCTCTGGGCTAAATGTCACATAATGGATAAGCTAATGAGTGCCTTTCAGAAGGAAAATCTCCCCCAGCTGGCAGAAAACAGTAATGTTTTCGTGACAGGGCCATAATTCATAGTCTCACTACCAGGTGGCTTGGACCACTGGTGGTACATGCATGACTGTTCCATGGGTGGCATGCTATTAATTTCACTAGTAAAAACACTGATGAAAGTGTTTAGATCTGTGCATACTCCCCCCATGGTACAAGCCACCTGATGGGACAGTCTTGCCATGTATTCTAAGCCAGTGAGAAGGTGTTAAACAGATCAAGATTTCTGGACACAGACAAGAAAATTTCAGATTCTGAATGTTCTCACCATCACCTAAGAAAATATGAATACTAAAAAAGAGACTTACAGTGACCACATATTTCAATAAAAATCTTCCAGTAAAGGATCGCAGCAGAGGCAGTAGTCGCCAGGGTTTATTTTTAAAGCCACTACAGATGCTAAAGGCACAACTTATTAAACTAATCTTGTTTATCTATGAAGTGCTGCAATGACCTCACAATTTTACATCATTCTCATTGTGCTCTTTTGCAACTGCTTACAAACTGTCTTCTGGCATTAAGCATTTAGAATGCTATTATAAATCCTTAAAAAAATTAAAACAAATAATTAGGAACTAAGGCAGGCCATTTGGACAGGAAAGCAGCAGGACTGTATCAAATAATTGCTGTCTCTCTTTACACAAAGGTGAGGTCCTTCCGAAATCCTAAACAGCACCCGGCCAGGGTTGGAGGCCCACAGCTGCCGCTGCAGCTCTGTGACTTGGGAATGCTCACAATCCTCCTCTGACTTTGCATTTTTGAGAAAATAAGAGATCATGGGCGGGGCCACTAGGAAGCCAAACTGGTTTCTCACAGAGAAGTGAGCCCCACCCAGCCTCCTCCTCTGCAGAGGGAGCGGAGACAGGAGCAAGAGCCCACTGTCCCAGATTCTGGACGCAGAAAGCGTGAATTTACCATGACCAATAATGAAGGCTTCTGACACATGGCCCAGAGGCTGAGTTTCCAAGTCAGTTCTGCTTTACAGAGAGTTGGGGGGGTCCTTCAACAGTTCCCTGACCCATGCCACACCTTCAAATCAAGCACATTAGAGTCAACACAGACTTCTGACAGGAGGTCTTCCAGAATCTTTTCTGCAGGCTCAACTCAATGCAAAGTGTGTATTATTTAAAAACTTTTTCGTACAATGTTATACAGTTCCTATGTAAACCAGCCAATAACTCTTAGTTATATGCTTAAGAAAAAGGGAACAGGGAACATCCACACAAAAGGTGGAAATAATCAAATGAAATGCTAATGAATAAATAAGGCGCAGTATATACATACAGTGGGAAATTACTTGGCCAGAAACAGGAAAGATGTAAGGGGTCACACTGCGGCATGGATGAAAGCACTGTGCTAAGTGAAGGAAGTCAGTCACGAAAGACCACATATTCCATGACCCTGTGTAGGTGAAAAATCCAGGTTGGACAATGAGAAAGTGAGTGTGGAGGAATAGAGGTGACAGGAGAGGGTACAGGGTCTCATGAGGACCTGGAAATGTTCTAAAACTAACTGTGGTGATAGCTGAAGAACTCTGAATAGTAAAATTGAATGGGTGAATTATGTCTTAACAGAACTACTGGGTGGGTGGTGGAAAAGCGCGTAAGGAAGGAAGGGGCGGGGAGGGAGAGAAGGAAGAAGGAAGGGGAGCGGGAGGGGAGGAGGAGGGGGAGCGCGAGCGAGCAAACTCATTATAGTATTAAGCAGAGGAAATACCAGCAGGTTCACATCTGTCAGCCTCTAGGTCCTGAACATTCCCATGCTACCTTTCGAAAGACAACTGCTCTCTAGCCTCATGCCCAAAGCCACCCTGCAAATGTCCTGATTAAGCTGTGCCACATGTACAAGTAGTGGCACGGGACACAGAGTAATTGCCTTTAAAGCATACAGTTAATAAAGCTCACTGGGAATGGTGGCACATACCTGTAATCAGAGTGACTCAGGAAGCTGAGGCAGGAGGATCACAAGTTTGATGCCAGCCTGGGTAACTTACTAAAACCCTATCTTTTTTTTTGGGGGGGGGTACCAGGGATTGAACTTTGGACCTTGTGCCTTGTGAGGCAGGTGGCGGAACCATTAAGTCCTTGAAATAAACTAAAATGGGCTGGGGATATAGCTCAGTGGCAGAGTACCCCTAGGTTTGATCCCCAGTACTTCACCCCCCAAAAAGAACTTTTGTCAGGTAGATAAGCAAAGGCATAGACTATATGTAAATCACTGCAATTTAGAGTGTAATAAATGTCTTTGCCTTTCTGTCATTATACAGCATAAAGTATATTATATAACACATATCAAGGAACACAATATAGACTCACATATATTATATAATCCACATGATAATCCCAAAAGATTAGCACAGAACTGGTCAGATCACATACGTGGACACCCAGAAAATAATTATTTCTACTAGAGAAAAAACCTCAACAATCCCTACTCTAAATACTAACTAAAATTATCTGTAGTTCAACAAAATACACAATAAAATTTCACTGAGTCACCATGGACATATCCAAAACGGAGGACGGGGTTTGAAAATGTCACTTTCTCCATTTTAATTAAAGCAAGTACTTGATATGCTGCATCTGAGGTTTACTCCTTACAAAAGGCTTTGCAATGCACCTATTCCTCTGAATATTTGGAAATTGTGTTTTATTCTGGAAATCCTGTCTTTGCCAATGTCTGAAATAAGCTTAAAAGTTCACCAAGTCATTAATTTGGTATAGAAAATGAAAGCCTTGGACTTCGTTTTACAGTGCTTCAGTTACTGAGTCTCCAAAGGGGTGGGTTTGTAAAACAGGGCCAGGACTGCCCTTCTCCCTCTGGTGCTAGCTCACTAGCCCCACCTTGTGGTCAAAGCAAAAGCCTTGGCGGCCACAGCCCTGCTCTGGGGTCAACAGAGCAGTTTGTGAACAAACAGAACAGAGAAGCTGTTTGAAGGATTCACAACTACCACTGTGAAGACCATGGCCAAGCCAAGGTCTCACAATACCCACTATTGTGGGCACTGCATGTGGCCACCTGTTAGCTCTTGATTAACAAGTTCCAGTACCAAGTACTTATATCTTCAAAGCTTTCTCAGCAGCAGAGCTAAAGCTCATCCTGAGAATCCAACAGGTGAACATCACCGAAACATTTTTAAATGGGGGTGGGGGTGCAGGAAGTCTTCTACATTTAGATACTGCATCTAAATTTGAAAGCTAAATGGTAAGAATAGATTAGTCTGGGGAAGACAGCCCCCACTGTGATATATGTAGATATAAGAAGCATCACAGCAAAAGCCAAAGTCCCCAACTCCCTCCCAACCCACCCAGTCCTACCGTACCTTCACTCTCGGGTAAAATGTTAAAACTAAGTAATCCTGAGAGTGACCAATGCAGCAGTCAGCACAGGCGCGGGTACACAGCAGACCACTCTGCCTGCAAGGCTCAGCCAAGTCAACAGAATGTACAGCACTCAAATCTGAGCCATCTCAGTTAAGCTACCGAATTTTACACGGCAACCCAAGTAGCCATACACTGAAGACAGCTTCTTAGAATGTATCTTAGGGGAAAGTTACCTTGCAGAGACCTAAGTGGGAAAAGGCACTAGAAGACACGAGAGCAGGGCCGCCGGGGACTTTGGTCTCTACCACCACTGTGGAGGACACGACATTGGCTGCCCACGGTCCTGCATGACAGAGGAAGTGCAAGGACCAGCGTGGATTCTGACGGTGAGCTCTGTGATCAACCAGGGACAACTGACAAAAGGACTGTGCACTACCACTTTCCACCTTTTGTATCTCTTAGGTTTTCATCCTTGACTGCAGTCTGACTTGCTCTGTTCACAAAGAGAGGACTTGGGCTCCAAGAATTTAATGAGGACATACGAGTCATCTGCACCTAACCTAGCATGAGGTTCCCAAGTCCGTCAGTCACTCCATATTGACATCAACACATTCAGCTGCCAGAAAATAGCATCTACACAAGGTTGGTCATAATTCAGAGAAGAAAAATACTCATCATTCGGAAGAACTCTTGAAAGAAACGTTTTAGCTCCAGAGCAACACTCTTGGGAACTTTCACAGAAACAATCCTGCGGTTAAAAACATTCTTCCCCCTTTGCTTTGCAAAAAGGAACCTGATATTTCCTGCTATAAATCAGAGTATCACCACATATCTCCTGAAACTTAATTGTGGCCAGCAAGAGAGCAGGAGGCAGGTGGGTGTATGTGTGAGCAGGGACGATATAAACTTTCAAATTCTTTGGAAGTGAAGCTTCTACTGGGAAGGAAGAGCTCAAGAATGCTTTTTACTCATACTGCTTGGGGCATACGAAACCTGGAAAGTTGACTGTGGAAAAGCAAAGATGGGGGAGCTACAAATGCTCACCTGTTCTAATGTAAGCTGCTTAGAAATGGTATCATTCTCCAGCTTCTTTATTTTCTTCATCAGTTTGTTGACCTGAAATTCCTGTTCCTGTTCCAGATGCTGCTCCAGTTCAGCTTTCTCATGCTGCAGCTGGAAAATGAAAAGAACACAGACTTGGAAATCAAGAAACTCAAAGGCCACAGGGTCCCTGGTTTCAAAAGTTGACTACGGGAAGTAAGAAGCCTCATCGCCAAAGTGACATTGCCCAAGTCTGCTCACATATGTAAGTGTACACTGGGTAGGCTGCTCCTCCTGGTGCCTTACCACTACGACCACTGGGCAAATACAGAGAATACCAAACCATAATCAAATATAGATTTTAATTTTATGAAGACAAGAGTAGTTGCCTCTGTGGGAAGGAACTGGTAAGCTAGGGAATGAGGCAGAAAAAGAAATTCAATTTTCAACATATACCCTTTGGTATCTTTTAAGTTTTGTGTCATAAGCACAAACATTTTAAAAATAGCTATTTTACACTGTCAGTTTTTATTAATGAAATGCAGTTTACTCAGATTTGCATCATGTCTGTAGAGAGATGAGATGTCACAGTCACAAAATATACTTAGTAAATTATTCACAATTATTTTGTAATGTACAAGTAAGTGTGTTTGGCAAAAATCAGTACCATTCATTTTCTTGGCATTAATGAAATTGCACATCACACCTCCTACATCTTTCCTAAAAACCACAGGGCAAAAATCTCTTATTTTTGCATTTATAACAAAAGGATATGATGTAGTTACAAGCAAAATTTTAAAGAAAATTATCCAACCTTCTAAACAAAAAGGAAAACGAAAGAAATCCAGTGGTCACAGGAAAACCTGGGGCCCTCATCAATCACCATGCATTATTTCTAACATTCTCAACTGGGAAAGGTTGGTGCTGTATCACAGGGGTGGACTGCCTGATGTCTCAGACCAAGGATAGACTAACTGAAAGCTACTTAAGAGCACTGAAGTACACACAAATTTATTTTACCTTTAAAATGACTTCTTTAGGCAGACACCAGACACCGCTTGTTCACGTGCATTAAGATGGCTGAGACCATCCCCAACTTATACGTGACTAAATTGGTCTCCATACTAAGGCGGCAGAGCTGGAAAGCAGCTCAGGTTGGGATCCAGACCCTGCTCTGAACCCCGAGCAGTGCCTGCCCACTCTATCACTGAGCAAACTTCCACAGGTTGCTGTGCTCAGACTCTGCCACCCACCAGTGCCTGGGACTCCCCTGGCATTTGAAAAGTCAAATGATAAGACACAGGACAAAATAAGCTGTCCCACTTGCCCAGGAGAATGTGTGAGTCCTTGTGTACCCTCCACAGGGTGCAATGAACAACTGAGGGAGGGGACGGATCAGCTTCAAAACATCCACACCTAACCAACCCTCTCCACATCTGACCCAGTTTCTAAGGGAAGTGGAGGGGGGACAAGTTATGGTTTAAATCAGACAGAGTTTTCCAACATTGGAAATATTGACTAAACAGGTACTGTTCTTTCTCCTACTGTTTCTGATGTGTGTCTGTCTCAAAAAAAAAAAAAAAGTTGGTCAACCTTGCAGGGATGGATGTAGGATGGGGAAAACCAACAAAAACCAGATGTGAGGAGGTGCTTACAGTGACAAATCTATTTTTAGTTGGTTCTTTACAACTCAGGTTCTGTAAGACTAAGCAGTAATTAAAAGAACTAAGAAACCTGGAAACAGAGAACAGGAAGAGTTCCCACATGTCAGACACAAAGAGCTCACTGGAACAAATACCACTCATAAAGGGGAAAAGAGCAAAATATGTACTTCTTCTTCAAGTACTTTCATTAAACACTTGCTGTGTGTCTTCTGACTGCAGGTCTTGCACTTGTGATAGATAAAAGCTATGGTTAAGACCTTATCCATGCCCCAAAACAATTTATGGACACTAAGTTTAAATGATATAAACTAGTTTTAAAGACATGATGAACTTGGGTCTTAAAGCCTTTAAACCATGTACATAACGGTGTTTTAAAATATAGTAGCTATGTTTTTCTCCAATATGTTTTTGATTGCTGCATTTTATTGGCAAGAGCCCCCCCCCTTTCTTAATGCATTATGCCTCTGACCTAGGTAAATTAAAAAAAAAAGAATTTAACCTAACTGAAAATCCTACCTATGAAATGACATATGTCACAGAAAGCTAATCTGAGAACGGAAAGGCTCTCACTGGCTTTTAGGAGAATAGTTGTATTTCGACAGATGGCCTAACCCTGTCGATATCTGACAGGGTATTTCCTTTAAGACTGCAGATTGAAGCAATAACAAAGGCTATAAAGCTCTCTATTTTAGGAGGGTTTTTTTTTTTTTTTCTCTTCTTCTCAAGAGCTAGTCCCTTAGGAAAACTAGATGGTAAGGCTGTCATTACCAGGACTCCAGCAAGGTCCCTGGCTTACACTAACCCATTTAGAAAATAGCAAGGGATCCTGGGTCCTGGCTCTGTTGGCTGAAGCTTCAGTTTTCATCAACCCAAGAGACAGCTGAAGCAAAGCGCTCCACTGCTTGCTGTGTTCTATTATTCTCAGGTACATGCAATTTAGAAGCAGGGCATGGGGTTTCCGAACAGAGAAAACAAAAGAAAAAATACAGTTCTTCCTTAGAACAAAGAAACCACAAATAATAAAAGGAGAAATAGAAATGCCCCAAGCCCCCCAAATTATGAGATGAAGGTTAGGATGAAGCAGAAGAAGAGAAGGGAGCTCAGTTGGGTCAGGACCTTTGAGGAATAATTAGTTCACTTCATATAATTTGCCTGAGAAAAATTTAGAAATTGTCTGATTTAAACAAATACAGGTTGAGTAACCCTAATCCAAAAATCCAAAATGCTCCAAAATCTGGCTTTGTTTCTTTTGGGTACTGGGCATCAAACTTGGGTCCTTGCGCTTGGAGGCAGCAATGGAACCACTGAGCTAAATCCCCAGCAATGCTCCAAAATCTGAAACTGAGCACTGTCTTAAAGCCAAAAGTGGAAATATCACACTTGACCTCCTAAGCCATAGCAAAAATGCAGATGCATCTAAAATACTGTATACAATTACCTTTTAGGTTATGTGTGTAAGGTATATTTGAAACTTTAAAAAAATCCTTATTTTTATCAGTACATGTTTGGAGTACATAATGATTACATCATCATAAGCAGTGGGTAAGGCATGCAACACATCTTAATTCTTTTTACATCTCCTTCTCTCCTCCCCCTCCCTTGCCAGCATTCTGTGGCCCCCTTCCGTATATGAAACAAATACATTTCATGATTTGACTCCATCTCCAAAATAACTCATTAGGTGGAACATATGACCAAAATATACAGTGAATGTTTAAAGTCTAAAAATTCCTTGTAGTAGAAGATACAATGCATGTATTCCCCTCAAAGTACTCCTTCTTGTTTCAACCCCGCTAAACCCACCCCTCTTGTCGCTCTCAGAAGCAGTTCTGGAAGTCCTCTGTTATGAGTGCAGCTACTCGGTGTGATTAAACAATACTACAAGCACAGCTGCCACGTGGACCAAGTGGAAAAGCGACCTCAGAAAAACACTCCGTCCTCATCCACCTTATTCAGCGGATATGGCACCGTGTGACTTCTGGCTCTTCCCCTAAGTCAAAAATGACCACGAAAGGCAAATGTTTTGAATCAATGTGGGACATAAAGGCAGCTCTAACACCTCAACTAAAGACACTCACCAAAGAGGACTTCCAGAGCTACTTCAGAAAGTTGCACGAACTGCGGGACAAGTCTGTTCAAAGTGAGGGGAGGATCTTGCAGGAGAGATCAATGGCAATGTATTTTTTGCTGTGATACATTTTTTAAAAAATTTAAACATTCACTGTAATTAGATTGTATATTATACATGCAAATATTCCAAAATGCAAACAATCAGAAATTTAAAATGCTTCTGGTTCGAGTTATTTAAAAAAATGGAAAGGCCAGGGATTTAGCACAGCAGTTCGGTGGCCTGCTTGGATATTTAACCCGCCCCAAGTAAATTCAAGCAACTTGGCCCTAACAAGGTTCAAAACAACACTTGAATTCACTTTCCTGTTGTGAAGCGATAGCTCATGATACCACAAATACAAAAACCCTCCAGGAAGCTATCATAAATAAACTCCGGTTTCATCTCTTCCACCCATCTTCAATAAGGATAAAAACAGTCAAGGCAAAATTTTACATTTCTAATTGACGGTCTTAATACATAAGCAATTTTAAATCTTCCAAAAAGGTCAGAGTTCATGCACTAGAACAAAAGTAACTCAAACTAAGGAGTAAATAATCAAATTCTGGTATGTGTGAAATAAAACTCGTGTGTGTGTTTAGTTGTGTTTCTGTGGCTGCCTCAACGACCTGAATCAAGTGAAAACGTTTACTTTTCATGGTCACTTTCACTCTGGGGAAGAGCCAGAAGTCCCATGGCACCTTATTCAGAGGCGCGTGAAGACACGCTGTAATGTTTTTAAGAGGCTGCCTTTCTATTACTTGGCACTTGGCAGCAGCATTCACCATATTTTTTTTTTATCACTACTTGTAACTGCACTCAAATGAGGTCTTCCTATGGTGCATGCCTGTAATTTCAGCACTTGGGAGGCTGAGGCAGGAGGATCAATATGAGTCTGGGCTACATACTAAGTTCAAGGACAGCCTGAAATACATAGTGAGACCCTGTCTCAAAAAAAAAAAAAAAAAAAAAAAGAGGACTTCCAGACTGCTTCAGAAAGTGGTAAGAATACTAAGTGTGTGCACAGAAAGAGGGACTGTCTTGCAGAGGATACACGGAGTTTTACTTTTCTCTCATTGCTAAGACAAAATATCCAACACCCAAAGTTAAAGGGGAACTCTTCATTTAGCTCAGTTTGTAGAGACTTCAGTCCATGATTGGCTGGCTCCAAGGCAGCGTGGCATGGCAGACAGACATCACAGAGGAGAAACAGTTCATGGTGGGCAAAATGTAGCAAGGTAAGCAAGCAAGCAAGCAAGGGAGGGATAAGACAATCCTCTGTCCCTTATACTGTATCCAGGCCACCAGGATTAGGGCAGGCCAAACCAATCAGTGGACTGACTTAGTAATCACCCACCCTT